GGCATTCATTTAAACCCAACTATTAAGAACTGATTCTCATTGACCAATAATTGTCCACCACTTGAAAATCGCCAAAATGTTCTAGATTTAGTTTAACCGGAATGATTAATGGAGTGAATTTATTACAGTAATTGAATATTTATCCAGGATAACAGCACTGTTGTCAACAGGGTCCTTGCTGGCTAAATAATGGAAACTAAAACCATCAAAAACTACCACCTTAAAAATAAAAATCGTCAAACGCATTTCTATAAATTACACTCTAGATCTCTGACTTTCAACCCATGATAAAAACTTTATTCCATCATGGAAATATGGGACAAGTATTGATTTTCACCCGGCAAAATACATTACTGGTTATGGTCTTGCAGTTGCATATCAAATTCAGCTAGACATACTTGAACTTTTGTCTTATCAGGAACCAAGATATGCATGATTGTCTCTTATTGTAGGCTGACCCTCATCAATAAATAATAAGTATACAGGTTTTACAAAAATGTTTGCCTCAGATTATTGCAGCATTGTCTACAACCCATTGTGTTGAAACAAATACACTGACCTCTTGTTCAAAGTGTTTATTTAGGCCGTTTTAAAAATTAATTGCAATTAATAGGAAACATATAAGTTACAACGGATGTGATATGCTGTATGCCGAACTAGTCGGTAATGAAGAAGGATTGACCCGGATTAAACAAGACGATTGACTTTTATTCCGCCATCAGAACTCGTGCTCTCCGACTACAACTTTCCCTGAATCAGAATCAGATCAGGAAAAGTCTCTTATATCTGAACAATCCACAGTGTGTGTCACAAACGTTGTGACTTCTCTTGAGTCAAGAGTCAACTCCAGTTGGTAATACTTTGCTACCGTTCAAACTCTGCAATATTTCATCAACCGTTGGGATAGAATGTCGCTCTCTCAGTATTGGCTTGTTCGCCCTACGCATGTCTATGCAGAGACGTATGTCTCCCCCTGACTTGGGAACGACAACAACCGGATTAACCCATGGGGTGGGCCTAGTTGCCGGCTCTAGAGGTCCAAGTTAATTAGTTCTTGGACCTTCTCTTCCACCTTTGATCTCAGACTGAAAGGGGTCCTCCGTATTGGCTGTGCTACCGGCTTTACGTTTGGGTCTATGTGGAGTTGTACCGCTCCGTCTTTCAGTTTTCTGACGCCACTGAAGACTTGCGGGTATTTCTCTTGCAGGACTTCACCAATAGTTTGTGAGCCTGTGTTTACTGCAGCAATGTCTATCCCAATCTTTAACACAACAAGGTTCGTTGCAGTGTCCCTTCCAATGAAGTGACCCTCGCTTGCCGTTGATCACGCAGAACTCGGCATTAATGGTGCTTCTCCCCACGGAGACCTCACAAGAGAATGTTATTACATCCAAGGGGGTCTGGGACGCGTACGCGTAGAGCTTATTGTCTGAACGAGCTGATTTGCATTTCACTTTGTTTCTCTTCAGCCACTCCCATGTTTGCTTGTCGATGAGGTTGGTACTTGCTCTAGAATCTATTATCACACTTAATTTACATCCACCAATGAAGACTTCAATTTTCTTTTGCTTTTATCGCCTATTGCAAACGCATATTCTGGGTCATCTTCACCCTCTTGAGTATCTACCGTATTCGCAGAGCCTCCCTTGGGACCCCTGTAGCGCTTGGGTTTCCTTTTCCCTCCTTCACGTTCATGTTTTGTCTTGAAATGCTCTTGGAAATGTCCTTCCAACGCACGTTTGCGACACTGCTGACCTCTTGCTGGGCAATTCGGGTCTCTACTGATATGCCCGGCTCTGCCACATCGGTAGCAAGTGAGTCGCGACTTCTTCCCAGGACCTCTCTTTGTTTCTTCTATGCGGTTTACACCTGCTGAGTCCTTTTCTTTTGCGTTCACCCCTTGTCCTTCTGTAAGTTGTGTGTCCACTTTTTCACAGCTTTCAGCTACTTCGAGCTCTTCCAGGAGTTTTCGTTTTACGTACGTACTAGTGCACTTGGAAAGGATTTCATCGCGGATTTGATTGTTCGTGTCGTCTCCTTATTCACAATCCTTGGCTGCCCGCCTTAGTCTGGTTAAAAAAAAAACTGTCGAATTGTTTCCCCAGGTGCTTGTGGTAGCTCTCTGAAGCGGTGCCTAGCGTGTGTTGTTTCGACCTTTGGAACAAAGCATATATGCGTTAAATGCATCCACAGCTTTCTTGAAATCCTTCACATCTCCTGTGTACGGGATTGAGTAGAAGATGTCTTGAACGTCAGGTCCGGCTAAATGGAGCAACAATGCACATCTTCTCTGTATGTATGTACGTTTCCTCTTCCTGTTGTTTGCATTTTCTTCATTCAAGAGCAGGCCTTTGCCGTCCGCAAACAATTCGAACGCTACAAGCCAACGTTTCCAATGTAGACTAAGCGTTTTTTGGTCGCCGTGACAGTCGAATATTTTTGATGTGGTTTCTTACGCTATCATCCAGGTTACCTACAAAGTATCCTTCCGTTCTTGCTCTTCGGGGGCTCTGTATCCTCGTCGCCAGAGTTATGTGCCGAACTAATCGGTAATGAAGAAAGATTGAACCGGATTAAACCAAACGATTGACTTTTATGCCGCCATCATAACTCGTGCTCTCCGACTACAACAATCAGGCGTTATTCTCCCTGAATGAGGGGATCTGGGTCCTAAAACACTACAGAATAATGCATTGAAAAAAAGCAAAAGTAAGAAAACAGTTAGTCTTCAACAAAATTTCGGCAAAATAAACGTTTCTTTGTTTAGGTAGACCAAGACCCTGATAAACCTGAGGAATCAACTATTCAGCAAGATAATGCTGGTCACAATCCTCCTGCCATGGAAAATGCTTCACCAGCCAATGCTCAATCTAGAAGCGGGAAAAGTCCTCCAGTGGACAGAAAGGGCGTGTCTGGCAATGGGAACAACTCCCTAGTGAGCAGAGGTAACATATTTAGATCTAAGAAAGACGAAGGTGAATAAATAACTAGCCCTTTTTGTTGATTATGACCTACGATTGCTAGATTATCTTGTTCGCTGCCTGTGTTGGTAGATTCTCTAGCCACGTGCATGCATTAAATACATTTTTTTCTGTCTGTATAGAGTCTATAGATGTTCTTTAGGCAGATACCTACAATTTACAATATATTTACGATTGACTTTTCATATAGTATATAGTATATACCTTTGTATTTTTATTTCCTAAATGTCAGCTGTTTGATTGAGACTTTTTAAAGATTTGAAATCAGGATAGTGAGAGCGATCTTTTAACCAATACCTGCAGAGGACTAGTAAGAGTTCTAGGGCCAGAATTACAGTACTTTGGGGTTACTCCCTCTTATCAACTATACGGGAAGGCTTCACCCCAAAGGATATCTTTTACACGATGAAGAAAAGGGATGGAGTGTTTGTTCTTAAAGTATTGTTGGAGTTCTGTTTTCTATCAATGCATTATTTTTAAGGATTGAGGATTAATTACCTGTTCTGTCAGAATTTGCATAGAAAAGACTTAGGGTTCCGACTTTGGCGCAAGGCCAATGGGAGAACTCCCATATAAAAAGGACGGGGGTGCTCGCTGGAAATTTTGAAAAGAACCCCTGAGAACTACCAAGATCCTGTTTTGTGGGCGGGGCTTGAAACGTTTTTCACCCTAAGAGGTACCAATTCTAAACACCCTGAGGGTTACCAAAACCGCGCTTTTAACCCCCAAAAGGTACAAAGAGGACCCCCTTTCCGATAGGACCGATAGTTCCGAGACATGAACACTCTGTTGTCTTTATTGTTCACCACTAAATTTTCTTCCGAGCGCCAGTTCAAAATCAAAGTCCAATAAAAGCGCATTTTTTGCACATTTCGAAAACCAACAGCGCTGAACTGTAAACAGTCTACCGAAAATTTCAAGATCCCCTCTGATGGCGTCATGTGGTTGTCTGTGCTTTTATTGACGATAAAAATTAGCCAATTAGCACCTCGGAGAAATTTTGAAAAGAACCCCTTAGAGGTACCAAGATCCTGTTTTGTGGGCGTGGCTTAAAACGTTTTTCACCCTAAGAAGTACCAATTCTAAACACCCTGAGGGTTACCAAAACCGCGCTTTTAACCCCTAAAAGGTGCAAAGAGGACCCCCTTTCTTTTTGTATGGGAGTTTCCCGTGGGGGGAAGACGCACTCCATCCCTTTTTTCACATTTGGAACCTTTAACCTCCTAAAAAGACAGCTTTTTGTACTTCAACTCGTGAAATTTCTACCATATTGATATACACTGTATCTCCAGCTAGATAAAGGTACCCTTTTTGGGCAGAGCCGCCCTATAGTCCATCATTCAGTTTAGTATAGTCGAGTTACTGTTGCTCTCTAACTTTTTTCTTATATTCTTCAGCAAGTAACTTCTTGCCCTATGCAGCTGTAGGAGTGGCAGCTGGTACTGCCGCTGTGGCAGCCACTCCACTGGTTCTTAGTGCTGCTGGCTATACAGCTGGAGGTGCCGCTGCTGGCTCAGTTACAGCTTTTATACAATCAGCAGTTTATGGAGGCTCCGTGGCCTCTGGAGGTACCTTTGCGTTCCTACAGAGTGCAGGAGCTGCGGGTATTGGGACAGTCAGCCGTGCTGCCATTGGTGGGATTACGGGAGGGATTGCGGCCTTGGGAGCAAAGATGTTTGTATGTCTCAATTAAAAATCGTTTATTTTTTTAAGTGTTTACGGGCATGTTTTATAAGGGTGTCAAATTTTCATTTTCACTGAACGTAATTGTATTAAGTGCATGTGGTATTCTTTAAAAGTAATCAAGATTTGAAATAATATAAACTCTTGTGAGCCCAGTTACGTATTATACGACATTTAGAGCCTGTTTACAAGGAAAGAGGGTTACCCTAGCAAGCGGGTTACCCTAGAACTCACACATTTCCTCTTTCTTTTCTTCGTCTTGTTTACAAGGCAGCCAGGGCTACCCGGGTGGGCGGGTTACCCTATCTGCGTGCTATGGTTACTCTGGCAGGAGGGTTAACCCGCCTATCCAGGTTAACTTTCTACTTTTTTCCAGACCCTTGAGTGTAATCGTGTATTAAGTTGTCCCGGTTTGTAGGGTTACCCTACCTGTGCAATTTTACTTGTAAACCCGGGCTATCTTTTGCCCTCCAGCTAGGGTTGACCTGCTTGCTAGGGTAACCCTTCCCTCTTTTAAACAGGCCCTTAGAAAATAGCCCAGAGAAATTACGCCCGCTGATTGGTTTAAAATCGCGTTTCTATGAAACAATTAGATTATGAGCTCGAGATTTCTATTTAAACAATAGAGTTTTTCTGTCGAGGAACTATCGGCTGATAGTTGCCCCGGGGAAATTTGATGTCCTTAGAGCAAGTATTTGCCCGAGAAGCGAAGCTTCGAGAGCAAATATCCTAGTTTTAAGATTATCAAATTTCCAAGGGGCAACTATCAGACCGATAGTTCCGAGACATGAACACTCTGTTGTCTTTATTGTTCACCACTAAATTTTCTTCCGAGCGCCAGTTCAAAATCAAAGTCCAATAAAAGCGCATTTTTT